GGGAGAGTGTGGGAGGGGAATATAATACATACATTACTTTGAATAAATATTGCGAAGAATATTACTACGTCAACTCGCCATCAGAGGTCTATAGATATTCGCAAAAATTCTCGCAAGTGCTTATATAGAATCTCGATTTAATAACTTAAACAGGCGTCTAAGGTAGGCTTCCACTACAATACCTTACTGATGAGTCCAGTAGTGGAAGCTGGGACGAAACGCCATAATTACGTGATATTCTTCGCAATATATTAGATTAATTTAAAGATTTTAATGAAATTATTGGCTCATTGCCCTCTTTCTCTATATTAAATATTTAAATATTTTTGTAAAATTATATATATTCTTAATAATTTATATTTGAAAAAATTAATATTATTTTAGATAATATTTTTAATTTTGGGATTTTATATTTTTGAGCAAAAAATGAAGTTATACTGCAATTACAATAATAATTTTAAATGCTATTACAGTTGTTAGTTTGAGTTTTTCTGACTTACGAAATAATTGTATTTCGTGTTTAATGCGATCAATTAACATATCAAAATTATTAAGAATTTTCTTTTCTCTCGGACAAAGCTACGGTCACTTCACACTCACTCCGACTATTTAATTCACATTGTATAACACATTCACGAAATCTTGCAGAGTCAGTCAATACCTTCAGATCGTACCGCGAATACTTTCACATGCGATTCTTCATTGAAGCTTTCTCTCGCACGTTCCCTGTCGGATAAGAGGAAACAAAACATACTTATCCACTTGTTGACTGACAACAATCTAAGTGGACCACTTATCTCAAGAAAATCTTCAAAACGTGTTACGAACTATGGTATAAGAGTAATCGGTGATTATGAGATGCTAAACGGAGAACGAGCGTGAATCAGATAGGGCAAACGAGATACTTGGTCCACATTCTCTTGCGTATTCTGACCTGGTTTTTATCGAATCTGAATAGTCGAGTTCTGATTGAACTAAACCATACGAGCTGTAAATCCTGGTTTAACGTAACGTGTACATACATCTTCTTCAACTATTTTACTTAAATATTGCCGCGAATTAAAGTGTCACAGAATAAATTTATACAATAGTATCAATTATTATATAAATAGAAATCTAAATTAAATTGAGAGAGAGAGAGAGAGAGAGAGAGAGAGAGAGAGAGACAACGATTGAAACAAATATTTAACAATTAATGCTAACAACTTAATTTCTGTTAATAACTTAATAAAATTAAATTAAATTGTTTTTATTCAAAAATTTGATTACTATATCCAAAGAAGAGAAAGTTTATTAAAAGTAACTTGTACGAAAACTAACTCGTAATAGAAAGTGACAATTTCTGTACCTTTCATTTTATTTATGACTTTTCTAGTTTATACAAGACTTTATGTGTGTGCAAAATTTATAAATATTACTGTGAAGAATGTGTGAAAAAAGATCTCTCCTATATTATTACGATTTAGCAACCAAAGAAAGACTACTTTCTTATTTCTTTTAATTTTAAATAATATGGCCACAAATGAGAATTTGATTATTTATATTATTATGAAAGACATGTGAAACTAATAATAAGCAAGATTGCCATCGATTATAAAATACGATCTATACAATAATTAATAATAAACTTTTTATATTTCAATAAAAACGAAGAAAATTTAATTTGATTAAAAAGGAGTCAACACGGTAAGAAGTGTGCAAACTTGTAGAAAAATTATTTAATAAAACATAAGATATGTTGTGACATCGACGTTTGGACGTTTCGGTTATTCATTTTAACCATATGAGCAAAACATTGACACGAAATCTTCAAGTATCCGTCAGGAAGCACAATTATCGGTCAAAGAAGTTTCCATGCTTGTTGATGACGAAATTATGTTATTTAAATATTGATAAAACTAATGTTTGAAAATATATTTAAATTAGTTGATCAAAACTCATGCTTACCAAACGGATCCAAGGAACACAAAAGAAAGATACAAAGTTACTTAATATTAGTCTCCAATAATAAAATAAATATAGTAATAAGAACGAAAATCTATGACAGATTAAAAACTTATCAAGCATATAGGCGGTGCGTGTGATAACTGTTACTAATATATACGACAATAGAATCCTCTGACATTATTCTTCTGATAATATCCGGTCTGTAGGAAAGCATTGCCGTCATTTATTATATCACAGTATTCTATCACACATGCCGACTGTTGTGATTCACACTTGCCGAGACTGGTTTGCATTCTACATTATTGTATCCTGGTAGCGTGTTACTTCACATGTTAAGAGCTCGTTTCTAACAATAAAGATGACTCATACTTTGAATTGACTAATTATAAAGATTAATTTAGAACATTTGTGTGACACTTTTAATAATTCTATTAAATCGCTCATATATTTACCTAATTGCGTTTGAAATCATGTCATTTAAGATATAAAAGATAATTTATATATATATATACAGGGTGTTTCCAAAATACCGCCCAGTATTTATATAGCGTTATGCCTGATAAAAAATTAAGTCGATTACTATTAGGAAATTTTTTTCCACCGTGCTTACCGAAGCAGTTATTATCGAGTAAAGATAATCCAACCAACGCCGTGTTTTAAACGGACGCACGTCGGTGAGCCGCGCGTCTAGTAGTGTGCATGAGCGCTCCGCCACGCCGGTACACCGCTAGCATCTTCGGTATGAAAATGCGTTTCCATTAATCACAGCTAACATTAATAGGGCTTGACAGGTCTTTATGATTTGTTCTTTCGACTTGACTTTACTATGTTAAACTCCATTTGTTATAATTCGCCAACAGTTCATTGTATGTGCACGCAGAAAGTGAGAGGACATAAGCTTCTCCAGATAAAATGTAACCCGTAATAGTGCCCGACATTACTTTCACAACGAGAGCAAGGTCTTATTTTCTACATTAATGGGTTTTGCTCTTTTCTTTCTGTCGGAGTACTTTATTTTAGTGTATGTTTTTATGAAAATATTAAATAATTTTTAATTTATAAATTAATATAATTCATATCCGTACAAATTAAATTTATAAAAACGGATAATTCATATTTATATAATTTATATGATAATATCTATAATATGCAGATATTATGGTAATTCTCTATCGAATACGAGAAAAATGCGATTTTAAATATAATAAATATATACGTATAAAATCGGAAACGCTTATGATTTTCTTGCATTTCACAAATACAAATATCTTGGTAAAAAAATCGTAGAGAAGTTTTAAAAAATGCATTTTAATGAGGATGAATATAATTTCATACTATTTTGTGTTTATGATAGTTTGTTCCTAAATTACATAAAATTGAATATTTTTTTCAATGTTTTTGTTATTTTTTAGAGTGCTCTATCTAAATGGAACATTATCGGATAAAATGTAACAGACAAGCATTTTAAAATAGACTTTATTATAAGCTTTAAAATGCTTTTCAAAAAAAAAATTACTATGTTGCCTTTTTGCAAAGATACCGAATTTATTATTGTATAAAATTTTATTGTGTAAAAACTGAATTTTTCTAAAATGTTTGTTTTCTAAAATGATTTTTAATTTTGATTAATTAAAATTTTAAAAATCTAACAATAAGCTTAATATCATAATATAATTTATTTTAAAAGATAATTTATATTTTTATATTATTTTCATTTTTGAGGGAATAAATGTTATCGACAAAAAATATTAAAAATAACATTGTTGATAATATCAGTATCGTTTTTATCAACATTTTGTAAGAAGTAATTCTCGGTAAAGAAGAAATCTTTCTTATGATGCACCTTATTTAGAGAATATGACATATATTGTATAAAGCACAAGCAGGTTTAAATTTATTGAATTTTTGTACTTATTTATTATTTAGTTATTATTCGATATAATTTTTAATTAACATATATTTACTCACAATATGATTTTTTAATTAATAACTATAAAAATCAGAAAATACATAATTGCGATGTTTTATTTTATTTAGTTTAGATTATAAACATTTTTATATTGTATAATATAATACTTAAATTGAATATATACAAATTGTGTACCAAATAATTTTATGTAATTATTGACTTGTCAAGGTTATATCTTAAGTGATCTGCGACAGATTTTAGCCGTTGCTTATTATTCGTTAAAAAGTTATTAACATAAAATAATTAATAAATCAAACATATTTTTTTAATACAAAGTGTATATAGTTTGTTGTATATTCTACATATATTTTGTTATATAATTTACATTTCCATTTACAACTTTTTACATAAAGTGAGATCTACATCACACTCCTGCCTCCCTTACTTTAGGGCGTTCGACTTTCCATGTGAAGTGAGGTCCATCTATACTTACCCTTCCCTACTAACTGTCTGAGCCTATAACTTTTCACGTGAAGCAAAGTATACTCTATTCTTCCCTCTACCAAGGGGTATCCAATTTCCCACGCGAAGCGAGGTCCATCTCACACTTTTCCCCTGCTTTGGGATATCCGACTTTCCATGTGAAACGAAGTCTACTCCATGCCCTTCCTTACCTAGAAAGTTTTTACGTAAGGAAGGGGATGTAGTGGACCTCGCTTCACGTGAAAAGTCATCACGCAAGAAAGGGAGCGTTTGGAATAGCTGTTAAAATTGTATGTAACAGAAATAAAACGTTATTTTTTAAACTCTTTTGTTAATAATTTTTTAATACGTAACAAGCGAAAACCTGTTGCAAGTTACTCAGGGTAATGACCTTGACAATATATGTTAAGATCTAGATCATCAAAGTGGAATCCCCTAATGTTCTAATTTAAACTTTTACAATACCTTTTTTTATGATAGATAGATTATATATTTTTGAAGCTCCCCCAAAAGATTATCACTGTCGGATGTCACAATAAAGATTTCTATCAAAATTACAATAAAAAAAATACAACAAAATTCGGAGAAGGCTCTGTCGATAACTTAATTTTAATACACCTTTTATAGAAAAAAATGAAAGGATTTTTCAACCCTTCGTTTGTTTCATTTATTTTCATATTTATTGTTAAGAATCTCGTATTAGAATTTGTTGTTAGTATTTATTGTTATAAAATTTTGTATTACGTTCATATTGTTAACTTTTTTCTATTCTGATAGATCATTTACTTTTCATTTGTATGGGTTCATAATCTTATACATATATCGAGGCGTTGTGTTTGTGCTTGGCATGGTCGAGGATTTTGTGATGGAATTTGATCAAGGCTGACTGCTTCATGTAGTCATAGTCGTTACGGTCGAGCTTGATACAGTCGAGGACCCTGTGGACGAACTTGATCCGGGCTGAGACGTAGAATTTGAACCTTGTACGGGCTGAGACGTAGAATTTGAACCTTGTACGGGCTGAGACGTAGAATTTGAACCTTGTACGGGCTGAGACGTAGAATTTGTAACTGCTGGTGTAGATAATGTGGTATTTGTTGTTGTACCTGATTACAGATTAGCGATAATCAATTAATTAATCAAAATCTTTATAAAAAATAAATTGTTACATTAATATTATTATTAAAATTTTGTTAATAGTTTTAAATTTGATATTTGATTGCATTGAGTTTCAACTTAAATTTTTAATTGAACGTTTTATCAACACATTTGATTTTATATTTTATAAATAACAAAAACATTAGGCTATTTATTATCAATAATAATATATATATCATTATGTAAAACTTATAATTTTCGCCCTCATATGGAGATAAGCATTGAGAAAAATGATCTGGTTGGATTAAATAGTAATTCTAGTAAAAAATTGCATCAGAATTTTCTGATCAAATCTACCTTCTAGTTGAGATAATTAGATCTATGACGGACATCAAGCTTTTACAGAATGAAGTTAATAAATTCTGAATCATAAAGGAAATTTAAAGGAATTATTCGATTACCTCTAATATTTCCAAAATAAGCAATTACAGTGAATATATTGAATAATTATTTTTTTCTACATTCTCTAAATATTGTATAATCCTTTGGCTAGCACCGTGAGGTACTAGACGCCCCAGCGTATTTCAACTCTAAATTAAGCCACTTATTGTTAGAAAATGGGACTTGTAGTGCCGTCTGTTAAAATTAAATTCACTAAAATAACCTTTGGCACTTGTTAAAGAAATATTTCAAGAATATTCTGAATTTTTGTCAAAATATCAAATAGCCTATTCGCGGCAAGCGATTTTATGGTTGGGGTATCAGACGCTCCACTGTGCCAGTTATGCGATTCTAGAGAAGTGTGCCAGCTAAGGGTTATACTACAATTATACTTATTGAAATTGATCTCAATATACTTACTTTCTGTTGTCGTACGATGCGGTAAATACAATTCAGGACATTTCGCAGCACACAAAACATTAAATAAATATGGCATAGTATCTGCAGATGTACAAAATGAGTGACAAAAATTTCGACGTATCTCATCTATTACTGTGAAACCAAATCTTCGAACTCGTGAAGCATGATCAGTCACGGATGAATTATAATGATGTAATTCGCCATGAGACACTGTATGCTAAATAATATACATATTTGTTAATTATAGTCTGTTCTCTTCTCTCTCTTTCTTTCTTTCCCTCTTTTATTTTAATTTTCAAATACCAACCGTTATAAGAACGATATCTTATAGATTTCTAAAGACATTTTTTAATAAAATTAAATTATTAGTTAAATTCAATATTTAAATTTATTAACTTTAACCTTCGGTTACTAGGAGTCCAGTGGACCCCAGGATAGTTTCAGGTTAAAATATTTCTAAGTATATTTTTTTCATTTATGAAATTTTTTAAGTACTTTAAATTCAAAAATTAGTAAGTTCAATAATAGGATCACAATTTTGGATGTTTAAATAATGTCCTGAAATTTTTTCATCTTGCTACAGCGCTTCATCTTTTGATATATAGCAACGATTTTATTTTGTAGGATCCGTTAGACCCCGTGTGATCATTTTGAAATTTTTAGGATGTGTGACCACCGAAGGATATATTAGAATTTATTAAATAATATAAAATTTTACATAAAATTATTTGATTATAAATTTATGGTTAGAAAATCTAAATTGATTAGTAAAATGAAGTAGTAAAATAAATTAGTCTCAGAAACTCATTTGAAAAGCACGTGTTTATTATTTGTATGTGTTTATAATATCTATTGATTAAGAAATATTACAAATTTACGATACCTCTGTCAAAACAGTTCCATACAAAATACATAGTCCAATTAAAATATTTGGACGTAACATTTTGTTCTTCAGTATAATTTCTATGTCACTTTTACTGCAACTGTTGAGTTGTTCTTTTTATGTTATTATTTCAGATGTACTTTGTTATACACTTTGTAACCGTTATAGTCTTAAGCAAATTTTCTGCTCATTTATATAGACAAGATATGTGTATTCTTAAAAATACGAACGTGACGAAACCGTGTAACAACATATTAGTCACTCTCTCTTTCTCTCTCTTTGCAGGATTTTCTTCACAGATTACGTATCTTGTTCCTCTTATCTTGTATATTATATATTCTACAGACAATATGCACCGCATGACATGCAAATACACTTTATCATCACAGATGTTCCACTTTTAAAACTTTTGAATTTATATGTTATGAAATTAAATAAAAAAATAATTGATGAAAAACAAAATAGAGACAAATATTTTATCATATAGTGATAAGGTTTTGAGAAAAAATTAGATTAGAGATAGACGTATTAATAAAAGTATTAAAAAAATTGATACAAGTTTATCAATTTCTATAAAATAATATTTATTTTTTAAAGATATTTATTGAAGTTTCCAAAAATTGTGACTAAAATACAAATTCTATTTTAGGAATATTAAAGGTTTGTCATTATTTAAAAAAACATATCTTAGCTAGCATTATATAAGTATATTATCTTGCTTCTATAATATATATAATAAATATGCGCATGTATTTCTACCATGCTTAATCACATACAATATATTTTTAGGTTTTATAAGACTATTAATAAAATGTATTGTTTTCTCGTACACGTTTAGCATTATAATTGTTATTATGAATTTGTGAAACAAAGTTTCCGCGATCTTTATTCAGTCATAAAAAGTTACAACACGTGACTAGAATGCAAATAAGAATAGCGCTATAAAAATTAAGAAGGTCAAAACTCTATTTTTACTTGCTATTCTTACTGTTCCAACACGTTGCTGATTAGTCAGATTAGCACAAGAAAGGTATAACTCTGCGTCATATTTATCTTTATAACCCAGTTATATGCAACCCGTTCTTCGTTGTTGTAAGGCGTGAATTGTTTCTGCTTATTATGAAACGATAACAAATAAAAATTTATGGACTGAAACGTAATAATTACATATTTATCATTTAAATGTTTATAATTTTATTAAAAATTGTTATTTGAAAATACTAATGAATAATATAAACAATAAATTAAAAATAATATTATTTTTTAAATTAAGAAAATTAATTAATATAATAATAACTAATATATGAATTTTTATAATGAATATATATTTTTTCTAAATTTATTAAACAAATAGTATAAAATTTAATATTTAAATAAATTTTACAATAAATAGAAGTATATTTTTTACAATATCTAATAATAATAATAGTAATAATTTTGACAATATTCTATAGTAGTAATAAACAAATGGAATAAACAAAAAAAGATAAAATTTCAGAAAAAAAACATACATTATACGTAAAAGATTCGAAACATAAAAAAATTTACAAAATAAGCCATAATAATTGAAAAGAGCAAGTTAAAATGATAAAGTTTTTAATTTAAAATTCGTTTTGTTGCCTGAATTTATTTAGGTATTACGTTAAATTTCTCTATGATCGAGTATTGATGCAATTAAATATAAATGTAATTCAACGACCTACTTCCACTTTGTAGAAGTTTAAGAATTTAAGAAATAACATCTCATTTGTCGATGGGGAAAATTCTTTTTTCGCGAAGCAATTTTTCCTAAAAGCAAACATTTGATCTAGAATACATACGGATGTTGCTATGACCTTTCGCGGCGAAGTACGAAACTACGTCACGACGTGGATGTAGGAAGGTGCTGCCCGGTAGGAAGGTGATAGCCACGACGTGATCACGTTAGCAATGACGCCAGAGATCCCAGCGGGTCGATAACAATGAGACCGACAACGACTGCCCGAGAACATTCTTGGCGCCCTGGTCTCTCCTACCAGAGCCACCGGCCTTTTTCTTGCCCACTCGTTTTTGCTCGTGCTTTTACTCTTCGTGTAAATCTTTTTCGACCTCCCGTCTTCTCTCTCTCCTGGCCGCTTCTCTATTTCAATTAGTTAATGCCTGTGAGTAAAAAGGGTGCCCCGTGATACGACGTATTATCGGATCATTGCGGAGAAGAAATCAATCCACCCCGAAAAGCGCCTTGGTGCAAGCGTTGCAAATTTATCTCGCTAATTTGACACACCATAAAGATACGTACGTTTAAATGCATTAATCTTGGCGCCGATAATGCAGAGGCATAATACTCGTGGACTGCTCTTACCATCGGCTAATCGTTCGATACTAGTTTCCATTTAATTTCCAAGGAATGCAGCACCTTCAAGTAATTTTGAGAATGATTTTGATATCAGATATTTTTTCATCCTTTGTATTTCTTGTGATAATTAGTAGAGTTATTTTTAAACAATATAATATTTTTTTTTATTCTCTAATGTTGAACACATGGTGATAATAAGGATTGAGTTCCAGTATCACTTGTTGCAATTTATTGTGCTTTTAGTAAACAAATTTTTTTAATGCTTTTAATGTATATATAATATGTAGAAAGAATTTAAGTGAATGTTCAGATTGTAGCTGTTCTCAATAATTACTACATATTTTTTATTTCAATAAATATTACAGTTTTGAGACATATACATTGAAATTGTAAGATTCTCATTAGTATTTTTAAAGAAATTTGATACATTTCACGATAAATCTAAATAAAGTATTGATATTGTTATGTATCATGAAATTCCACTTGTTTCGCATATTAGTCTCGGTGCTTGAACTGTCCTTGGAAAAAAGTCAGGAAGTCATATTACCGTGACAGATTTACGCGATCGTACGGCTAAGCGTTTTATGCGATAGTCTGTACCAGCGTCTCTAAGCAGCGCGGAATTATTCGTGAAAGTAATTGGGATCTCTCGTTATGAAACTCGTGATCGTCTCTTAAGAAAGTAATTCGACGATGGTGTAAGATACTTTCGTAATTCTCGGCTGCATCTCTAATTGGGCCTGCATATGCCAATCGATTCTCTCCTTCAGTCAGGCATCTAGTTTGTGTTAAAATCGTGGGAGCGAATAATGCGCAGATGGTCCGACGTGAAAGATGAATCTTTCGTCGTTCTTTCGATCGATACGAAAGTGTAATCTGCAAAGTTGCGAATCCGAACGTGTTCACGGTATATGAGTTTCAAAGACTTTTCGATCTTAGAATTCGACCGCGACCCGGATTAAACCATGAGACGTACTATTAACGACAGTCGATAATATGCTGTAAAGTGACTTTACTACGTAGAGTTTCTTAAAATATGAAAATATTTAATAAACAACACGAATTAATCAACGTAGTTCTTTATCATATTTAATAAAATAAAAAAATTATTATAGAATTATATTCACAAGGTATTGTTTTATTCTTTATATTTATAAATAACATTATATTTATGTTACTAGTATAGAGAGAGATCATATCATAAGTTATATGTATTTATTGTATTATAATATTATACTATGTACTAACAACAAAGGTCTGTTTTCTGTGGCTGAAGTAGTGTACACTGTTGGAACTTAAAGTGAGACAGGTTTATATTTGATATTTGCTGAAAAGGAGAAAGAAAGTTCTAGTGCAGTCCAGTACAGAAAACAAACAATAATTTAAAAAATTATTTCAATCTTGCGACACTCTGTCGATAACTAGTTCGACAAATTAATTTGGCTCCAAAGTGAAATAAGAAAGAAATAAATGTTGATACCACAAGAAATAAAAAAAAGTAAAAATAATATAATATAATAGTGCATATCATTAATAAATGTTATTATAAATATTATTCTATAATAATGCAAGCCAGTGATTGATGTTATTGATTGATAGGATGTCAAATAGTATGATTATACAAATATTAACGAAAAATACAAATGAATCAGAGAGAGAGAGAGAGAGAGAGAGAGAGAGAGA